TCATAAGATAATCCATGAAAGAGGAGCATGGAAGGAGGGCTGTGTGGGTAGGTGTGCAGTGAGAATGGGAACAAAGCTTCCCTGAGCACTGTGGCTTCCTTCTCTTCTTTTGCAGCCTCTGTGATGAATGTGGCCTTCCTTTCCCTTGACTCCTGCCCTTGATGCTGACTGCTTCAGGTCAGCTGGTAAGGAGAAATGGGTGTGTGAGCTGGAGGCAGTCAGGCGGTCATAACTGCTATGTCATCAGTGGTCCTACCCGTGGGAATACAATGTTGAAATGCTTCAGCTGGTTTTCACGCGGAGCTCCTGTTTGTGGAGGAGGAGCAGCCTTCATATCCTGAGCTAGATTAGCTGATGGGCTTGGCTTGCTTCTCATCAGAGTCACATTTCCAGAGTGCTAACTTCATGTCAGGCACTGAAATCTAGGTATTGACTCACAGACGGATCCTACCCTTTGCAGTAATTCTTTCTGTGTGGGCAAAGTGCTCATTTCCAGTGTGTCCTGTGCTGCTTTGAATGAGACACAGGGAGAGAACCCTACCAGTACTACATCACCCCAACAGTCACTTGGCTTATCCCCTCCAGGAGACCTTTTTGGTCCCATGGCTATTTTTTCCAGATGTGGCTGGAAACAGGCTTCGTATGTTTGAGATACCTTCGTTCCTCTCAAACTTGCATTGATTTATTTTTTTTCTGTTCATTTCCATGCAAACTCCTTCACATATGCTCAGTATAATAAAATATTCATAGCTACATATTTTTCAAGTTTGGTATGTGGTATGTTTCTTCTCCCAAAAACTTTGAGAAAGAGCAATTTCATGTTACAGCTGAGGAAACTTAAGTGTAGAGGATTTCTATGGTTTTCCAAGGCCAAAGTGTCAGCAGTTACTTCAACTAGGATACACACTTAAAAGTCCAAATGCCTTGGATACTGTTTTTTCTCTTCTACCATCTCCAGACTTGTTCTCTCTTACTTTGGCTGCAGGGAAAGTACAGTCCCCACTCAAACAGCTGGACTGTATCCAAAACTTTCAACATCCTGGCCAGATTCTTGTCCAGGCTCTTGCCTAAATGAAGAAGAGAGAGAGAGAGAGAGAGAGAGAGAGAGAGAGAGAGAGAGAGAGAGAGAGAGAGAGAGAGACAGAGAGACAGGCAGAGAGAGAGACAGAGAAACAGAGACAGAGAAACAGAGATGGAGAGGGAGAGAGAGGGAAAGAGAAAACATTTCCCCCACTCAAACAGCTGAACTCTATCCAAAACTTGCAACATCCTGGCTAGATTCTTGTCCAAGCTCTTGCCTAAATGAAAGAGAGAGAGACAGAGAAACAGAGAAACAGAGACAGAGATGGAGAGGGAGAGAGAGGGAAAGAGAAAGCAAGTTTAAAAAAATTTGGCGATGTTACAGATAAATAGCAACACACTGATTTAATGATACTTTCTACAGTGTCTAGACCCTCACATTTGCATAAGTAGCAGAGAGGGAAAGGATAATCCATTTACTAAATGAATCTTAGAGAAAATGAGCTTGGGGGAATGAAGTCTAAGTTTTCTTCTCCACTAAGGAAAGTCATGGAAACCAGTACTGTGATGTGCTCAAGGATCTCCTACAAACCTTGTGAAAATGCAGGTTCTGTTTCAGTTTGAGTCTGTATGCCACACATCAGGATAACAATTTATTTATGTTTTGATTTTATTGAGACAGGATCTTGTTATGTAGTTCAGGCTGGTCTTGAACTCATTATGTAGCCCAGATTGGTCTGGGGCTCAGGGTGATCCTCCTGCCTCAGCCTCTCTAGTGCTGGGATTACAGGTGTGTACCACCCAGGCAGGACACACTTTAAACAGCAAGACTTTAAACCACTAACTTGTAAAGTTGCTTTCAAATTTGGGAGTTTAAAATAATCTTGACACCTGGGTTCTAACTCCAGAGGCTCTAATTGATCAAGGAAGTGGCTTGAGATTTCAGAATTTTAAAACGTTGATGGCAAAGTACACCAAAGTTTGTTTTAAACTTTTAAAGGGTAGAAATCTCATGATTTTTCTTACTCTTACTTTTCTTCATCTTCATCTTCTTCTTTTGTGGTGTTGGGAATGGAACCTCGGGCCTCCCACATACCAGGCAAAGCCTGTCCTCCTAAGCCACATCCTCAAGCCTTGTTTCTAATCACAAAATGATTGTAGATAGCCATCGCCGAGGGAAAGGGACACAAATGGATTAGATCGCAAATATGCTGCATCTTCCTCTCAAAAGGAGCTAAAAAGTAAATGAAGATTTGCCCTTTTCCCTGCAAAGTTCTCAGCACAAGTAGATCCTGCTTTTTGAAAAATTCCATCTTTCTGTACCAAACATTCTTACTCTCCTGAGTGCTGAAAATCATTTCTGATAAAAACGGTGGGTTTGGGGCTGGGGATTTAGCTCAGCGGCATAAGCGCCTGCCTTGAAAGCAGGCAGTCGTGAGTTCGATCCCCGGTACCGATAAAAAGGAAAAAGACAAAAACAAAAACAAAAACAAACAACAACAACAAAAAAACCCCAAAATGGTGGGTTTTATTCAGTTGTCTATGATTTGTAGAATTGCTTTTCCCTTTGGGAGGATAGTAGTGGGTGACTTATGTGATATCTTTCCCCTAAAGTGGATCTTTGCCTTAAGTGGCTTTTCAACCATTTATTTGGAAATATTTACCTGTAGGAACTATGCCGTGTATGAGGAATTTTTTTTTTTTTTTTTTTTTTTTTTGGTACCAGAAATTGACTCAGGACCTCATGCTTGCCAGGCAGGCACTGTGCTGTGAATTAGGTCAATGGGATTCCAATCTCTGAGAGTTTGACTATTAAAGACGAGCTGTAGGGAGAATACAAGTGACCCATGAAGTGCTCTGCCATAAAGGATGAAGGAACATGGAAGGAGATAAAAAGGAGTTAGATAGGATCAAAAGAGTTCAGAAGGTATTTATAAGAAGGCAATATTGGAATGGAGATCAGAACAATGATAAGGGTTAATCAGACAGAAAACAGTGAAACATACTCCATCCGTGAGAAAAAGAACATCTGCAAACAGCTGGTGGAAAAGGAAAACATGAGAGAAGCTGAAAAAAAATTCAATGTAATTTGAATGAAAAGTTCAGGCATCTGGATGTGGACATGAGCTGGAGAGATGCACAGGATTGATATGGGGAGGGACCTGGTAGAAGGAACTTTGATTTGGGGAGGTTGTGCTCATGTGACTGGAGCAGGGACTCTGAGAAGACAAACTGGGCCTGAATCGTAGCTCTGCCTCTTCCTGGCCATGCTATCTGGTGTCTGGGGCACTTATGTTCCTGACTGGAGTCAAGGTTAATAATGCCTACTGCATAAAACTGCTGTAAGGGTTGAATGTGTGAGTATATGGAAAATGCATAAACTGTAAGAACTTGATACATGATCGTCAATACTACCAATCCCCAGGACAATGAACAGTTAATCTTGTTGTTTGGAGATGGATTTTTAAGGAGTGAGGCTGCAAATAAGACATTAGTTAGGATGTACTGAGAGTAGGAGTGAGTTAAGGGTGGCTGGAGCTGGAGACTGGAAGGATTGGTGAGATGTCAACCGGATAAGAAAGGAGAAGAAAGATCATTGAAGACTGAGATAGTCCATGAGATTTGGGAGAAGAATAGAAATGAGTTTGAGGTGAGTTTCATGGAGTCACTTGTATATATTGGTGTAGTACCCATGAGGGATCAGAGGCAGAGATCCCTCTGACACAGTAAGGGATTTATCATGGAGTTTTAAATGGCTTGTAAAATTGTTAAGAAGAATGAGGAAATAGATAAACCTTTCAGGAGTGACTTTGTTTTTTCAGTACTAATTGAACCAGAGACTTTGCACTGAGCTACACTCCCAGCGCCAATATCCCTTTTAAAATTTTGAGACACTATCACTAAGTCCCTAAATTCTCAGGCTGGACTTGAATTTATGATCTTTCTGTCTCAGCCCCTCAGATTACAGGCATATGCCACACAGCTAACTCAGTAACAACTTTCAAAGCCTCTCCTAGTCTGAGAGGCCATGGTAACAGCTGTCTCTTCAACAGTGTTGCCACCAGAAAGCTAGACTTTCTAGAATTATAGCATTATTATGGAGAACAGGAAACCACTACAAGCAGGAAGCTGCTACAGCTAGGACCAAAACACTTCTGCAACAGATTATGGTAGCAGAATGGATGCTCCTTTCCCTTCTGCCTAGACTTGCCTCGACTATGAAGCTAGCAGCTGGACAATGGGAATTTTTGAAAGTGCAGCTATGGAAAAGTAAGTGACTGTACAGCTGTGTTTGCAGGCTGAAACAAATATCGCCAAATCCTGCGCGTCTCAGGCTCTATTATACTAGATCCTGAGCTGCAAGCCAACAAGAAATGTACATTTTTAGCTTTGCAACATCCAGAGCAGAGAAAGGCAAACTGAGAGAGCGTTTTGCAAGTGACAGCATGTGACTGAGGAGAGCAGTGTCAAGTCGATTCAGGTGGTAGAAAAAGATATTTTTCTTCATCCTTCCTGTCAGCGCAAGGTGTCTCTGCCTCTGCACCATGGTGAGAAAGAAAAAAAAAAAAAAGCTGTAAGTCCACTGCACTTTGCAGTCTTCATTGCAAAGTCTCAAGCGAGAACTCTGGGAAGATTCCAATAGGTGATTCGAATAGGGTTTTACAAGAAAGTCAAAGCTGCGGATAGCAGATGTTGTTGAAAAATACAGTAAGTGTTTAATTTTTTTTTACAAAGTCATTTATTAAGTAAATGACATTAATGTCAGTAATCCTCCTTGTTTCAACACCCTTGTCTCATTGTTCTGGCCACCTCTGAAGCAGTCCTAAAGTCTTCTTTTGCGAGTTGCATGATCACACCTGCCTTGATATCTGGAACTGATTCAGAATGTTTAACTTTCATGGTCATTTTGACTTTGGAGATGAGCCAGAGGTTGCACAGTGCCAGACCTGGTGAACAGGGTGAATACAATCCAATGTCCCTGTTTTTTTTTTTTTTTTTTTTTGTCTTTTTCCTTTTTATCGGTACCGGGGATCGAACTCATGACTGCCTGCTTACAAGGCAGGCGCTTATGCCACTGAGCTAAATCCCCAGCCCCTGTCCCTGTTTTTTTAAATTAAAAAAATTTATTTACTTTAAAGAGAACAAAACCCAACAAAACAAAATAAAACCAATCAAAACTCAGCAGCTAAAGTGGTACAGAACTTCAAAACAGGACCACAGAAAATCAATAATGGCTATCGTAATATATTTTGCTGTCTTCACCACAGTTGTCCATTCCATTAGACATAGCAAAATCAAACAAAACAACACAGAATAAAACCAATCAAAACATAACATCGAATAAAACAAAACAATAAATTGGAACAAATGAAAACAGTGAGAAAAAGACTACACATTGTTACCTTCAAAATAATTGCTTAGGTTACCAGAGGCAGGAATAAAATGAAACAGTAAAATGGAACAAAACATTGGATTTCAAAAACAAGACAGGAGGAAATCCCCCGCGGTTGACACAATGCACACTGCCTTCCTCCAAGCAGATGCCCAGACCACCAGCCCAGGCCTGCAGTCAACCAAGCAATACAAGCATTGAGCTACTGCCTTTCCCTCAGTTGCTGTCATCACATCCTGAGTCCTCCGAGTCAGCAGCAGCCGTGAGGGTGGGGGCTTGGGGGGTGGGGGGACCCTTTACCATTTTTAGCCTGCCCACTTGCTGGCTCCCAGGAAGGTGTAGTTTCTCTTCTGGCTGAGGCTCTTACCCATCAGCACGGTGGTGCTTACTTCATGGGAAGGCATACATCCTCTTCGGGCTCAGCCTCTTTCCCATCAGCATAGCAGAGCTTACTTCATGGGAAGGGGTAGTTTCTCCCACACTGTCATGGTGTCATGAGCCTGACTTTCTGTTGGACGGTATTCAGCAACAACATTCACTATATTTTTGATACATGAAGGCCCTCATGAAAAAGCGCCTTCAGAGATGCTTCATAAAGTTGCAAGAATGAGGAGACAGGAGTGTTAGAAGACAGGGAGCATTTTGAGGGGGTATTAATAGCAATACATGTTTTGCTGTAATGAATTTTTCAAATACCCACTGTATTTTTTGATCACCTCATGCATATTTACAGTTATTGGAAAGAAGAGGTCACTTACATTTATGGGAGTACATGAAGAGAGACTGGGGAGCCCAAAGAGAAAGAAATCTAGGCTATAACTGAGACACGTGGACATTAGGACTTTGATGGAAGGAATCTCTTTCTGAGCACTGTTTGTCATGTAAGCACATTCTGATTCATACTCACTCTCCAGAAACAGAAGTGGATCCAGAAAAACCAGAATGCCTTTCAAAGTTTTGTTTTAAAAGCACAGACAACTCAGCATCATAAAGTGGCCCTTGGCATGTGTCACTGGCACTTGGGGTGGAAGTGTTGATAGTTAAGCAGACCATAGTAATACTTGGCAGACGTGGGAAGAGCCTCCAGAGTTCAGATCACACAAGCTATGATCATGGAAACGTGAACCCTCACCAGCTCTGATTAACCCCACAGCCTTGGGGCACTATTTATATTTTTCCAGGAGCACTCATTTTATGAGTTTTGTTTTGTTGTATAGAAAAATGGCAACAAAAGGTGGAAGTTGTGTAAGAAGATGTGGTCACTGAAGCATTGTGCTGAATAACAAAAATTGGAAAGCAAATTACACGTTTATTCCTAGGCATAGAGACAAACAATAGTGCATTCAAACAATGAAATACATAGCATTTAAATAATGAGCTAGCGCTATATCTATTAATTCAGATAAGTTTCAAAAGTTTAATGTCATGTGAAAAGTGCAAGGCATAAAATGTTATATGAAGTATGATATTGTTTATTAAACATTTCAAAGCCACACAAAATTTTGTATTATATTTTCTTACAATAAAACAAATATAAGATTAGAAAAATGAAGGGTGTCGACAAACTTCTGGCAATGTCATACAATCTTAGGATAGCAAGTAGGGAGATGGATAGAAGGGTGAGATTTTAGCTCTCTATGGATTATTTTAAGACAAGCAGAAGGAAATATAGAAAAATATTAACAGTTATTAAATAAGTTGATGAAGTACTGAAGAAATATTATTTTCTATTTTCTTCTTAATTAAAAATAAATATAAGCATATATAAAACTTGCAATTACCAGAGCAAGAATCAAGCTTTCTTCCCCGAACTTCCCTTAAACAGATGACTAGGGGAAAATATATACAGTAAGTTCCTGCCTTACAAACATTCAAGCTGTGAACTTTCACAGCTAAGAATGGACCTTGCATTACAAACATTTACAGACATGAACACATGGAAGTAGCTGGACATTGTCACAGCTGTGCTTTTGTTGCTTACTGTACAGTGCAATAGTGTACAGTCTTTTGTGTGTGTTTGGTTTTTTATGCTTTACATTATATATTCGTATATACTTATGTCAAAAGTGTGTAAGACGCACTATGTTAACCCTAACCCTAACTTACAGCTGTTCTCCTAGAACAGAACTTGTTCCTAAGTCAGGAAGTCACCATACATGCACATACATATATACATATATATATACACATACGTATGTATAAAAGCACATATATATATACTTACACATATACACATGCATATATGCATAACTTCAAATTTAAAAAAAAGTTCTACTTTATTGGAAAACATATTGGCTTTATCATAGTTTCTTTCTGAGAGTCATAATATAATTTAAATGTGGTGGAACTTTAACCATTTTCTGGGATTTGATCATGTGACAAATCTATAGAAAACATGGACCTTCTGTGTCTCAAGTAGAACGATGATCTCAGAGTGGAGGTGGAGCAGGGAGGGCCAGAGAACATTGCTGGTTGCTGGGAACTTTTCCATGTAGGGCTGAGAAATTATAGAAAAGCCATAAGAGGAGTCCAGTCAAGGTCAGTGAGGGCCGGGAGGTGGAGTGCACATTCTGGGGAAGCCTCAAGATATGTGTTCTCCATGGGTATTCCATCCAATAGCAATCCATTGGCTTTGCTGATCTCTCTGGAACATTCCAGAGATGATTCTCAAGTGACTTCTCTATCCTCCTTTTAAAATTTCATTGAGCTGGAATACTTACAGGGAATCCCAAGATTTTGGAAAGTTCTCTTATTTGGTAAATGCTACACCGCTTCCCTTGGTACTTCCTTCTTTCTCTGCTTGTTCATACCAAACCCTTTCTGAGCACCCAGCCATACACCGAGCCACTGTCTTTGTGACTGGGAAATTCTGAGGAGGAATGAGATAGTGCAGGAACAGGAGGCATCAGTGGGTGATGGGAATTCAGGTGAAAATGACGTTCCTGAATATAGAGAAAGTCGTGTGATTTTTTCCAGGGGCAGAAAGACATTAGTCTACATTGAGCTTGTTATTTTTCATCAACTCATCCCTCACTTTTCTCTGTAAGTTTGGCGAGTATAATGAGGTGTGTGTGTTTATATGTGTGTGTGTGTGTGTGTGTGTGTGTGTGTGTTGTGTATGCTTTGGGGTTGGAGTGTGAGAGGAAGGGAAGAGGGCAGCCTGTGAGGTCAAGTTCAGTGTTCACTAAAGAGATACATGCTTTAGGTAGCCACGTTTCCAGTAAGAAAAGTGACCTGTTTCACTTACATAGAAGTGTCATTAACTCATAAAATTTCCAAGATCTGGTTAACCTTCCAGAGTAACAGAATCTAGTTTTACACTTTCTGGGTTGTCCATTTTCTTTGCTTTTACCACTTGACTTTTGGTAATTGTCTTCTTTTTTTAAAAAGACAGATTAATCTTTTAAATGATGCTCCCCTGTGTCTTTAGCAACTATTTTTCTGAGCATTGCTAGACAGATTGAAATTAGGCAACCCTCATGCTACAAAAGTCAGGTACTTTTGCTCAGAGAACAGCTAGAAATGAGAATGGGATCTTTCCAGAGTTAGGCTGTGAGAGGGTAGAATGCTTGCTTAGTTTGCATGCACTTAGGCTCCAGTTACCATCAAGAATGTGTGAGTTGATTTAATCAAGATTCTGTTGTGCTGTTCAGTTAATATACAAATCCAGACCCAGGTGTTTCCTTATCTCTAGCTTTTTTTTCTATAAATTTGCCTGTGTTCTGACCACATAGCACTTGGCTTGTGGGATTCACCACCTTTTCCAAAGTCTGATCCTCCCAAAGAATCTACTCACAGAAAGTTAAAGGCCTAGCAGGCTTACCGAGAATTTATGATGAGACCTAGGAGGACGATGCCATAATGCACTGCTCAGCTTGTGACCTAACATTTCTCCTGAGGTGTTCTTGTTTCTCCAAGCCCCTCTCATCCTTTTCTTTAAATATTTTCTAGATTGTAACAAACCTTGCTGCATTCTCAATCCTTTCTTTTCCTTGAGAAAAATGGAATTTTACTTCTTTTGGTATTTTTGCACAGCAGTGGAGGGTCTCTCTTTTCTTCCTGAAGCAAAAACCTCAGAGGCTTCCACTCTGAGCCAGAGGGTTCATTGAAGTACTTCACCAGGTAAGATGCTTCTTCAAAGCGAATGCAGCAGTGTCAAGTTTGATGACTCTGGACAAACCACACAGCAGCCTACGTCAGGATAGAAGGATGTCATTGCTCAGAAGTTCTTCTTGCTGTTTTCAAGTCATCATTGTCTATTGAGGGCTTTTTCTGGGGACTCATAAGCCCTCTGGAAAACTGATTTTCTGAGAGGAGTTTGAAGCAGGGGACAGATGTATCTCATGCAGGGAATGGCAGCTGGTCCCTGGCTAAATGACAGTGTTGCCTTGATCACTACAAATGAATAGACGGTGTGTTGAACATACACGGTCACTCTGGAAAGCATCCTGAACCTTGTCACCATATTCTGACCTGCTGCGGTGACATTCAGTCGATTGTCGCTGATACCATTTGTTGTATATCGATGTGTTATACCTTCATTTGGTTGGGAGCTTCTAGAGCTCTGCTTGGAGTCTCAGCTCACAGATATTATGAAGTGAAATGGATTTTGGAGAGGTTCACACTTAGTCCCCAATTTTTTTAGGCCTGGAGTCTGAGCTCCAGCAAGGAGAAGGAATGGGTCAGAGTGAAGCAATGAATTATTAGTTTGGCTGGGGCAATCCAACCCCTTCTGATTGCCGTATGGGGTTTTATCGCCACACTGTGGCACTTTGTTCCTTAAAAAGATACTTCATTTTTAAACCCTGATAAGTACTTTTCCAAGAGACAGAAGGAGAGTGAGTATATTATTTAATATGTTTTGTGGTTTCTGTTTTGCTCTAACGTTTTCTTGTTGTCCCAGTGTTTGGATAGATGAAGTACTGTTTGGTAGAGAGTTGTTTTCATCTTGCAGTCCAGGAGAAGCTGTTCAGTCTAAACCACTGTATAAGAAGATGGATAACACATTCTCAACAGGAAAGGTGTTTGTATCCACATACTGGAATTTATTCACTGTGACCGATATGGTGGTGTTGACCTGCAAGTAATCCAGCAAGAACTGTGAGAGATTCTGGTATATATTTTTAGTTTGTATTCCAGACTCACACACTGTTACCATGGCCTGTCTTTTGACCTTCGTGTTGACAAGAAGTTCCAACTTCAGGTCCACGGACTGATTTGAGCACTGCACAAGAAACTGCAGTTGACAAATGACGAAGTACAAGCCTGGGAACTGAATCACCAGGTTCCCATCCTGGTATCGGACTCCGTTGAGAATGCCGTCTTGGTTCCAAGAAATCTTGGTACTGTTGAGATGCTTTGACACTGGGAAGAAAAGCATGAAAAGAAGAATTATTAACCAGATTTTATCTGCAGATTGGAAAACTCCATCTTTACTCAAGATTCCCATTCAACAGCTTTATCTTTGGCAGTGTACCTGTTGCACCAGTCACCTGAGTACCTTTCGTTTACACCTTCTTGGTCTGTTTATTGAAGTCGCAGCTAGAAAACCACCTCTTTTCCTTTTCTCCAAGGCCCAAAGACAAAGGGTCAAACATATGGTACTACCTTGTTATTATTATCTTACTGTCTTATTATGCTGATTAGTCTCTTACTTGTTATACTATAAGCTCCTGAACTGTATTCTGCACAAAGTGAGCATTATCGTGTTCACTTATTACAGATGAACAGTCAGTGAACTGCTGCTATTTGGTCTGTGTTACGGAAAGTATCAGAGATAGGACAGTTAATATTGTTCAGTTAATAACCACTTATCAAGTTGCCCAGGAGAATCTCCATTAACTTTCATATTCAGATATATCTTTTTGTGGGTTATCATCTGAGATTCTGGATGCTATCTTTTTTTAAAGGGCAGCCTGGCACAGTTGCATAGGCCATCGTGCGTACAGGAGGGAGCTCTGTCATCTGTGATGCCTAGCAGAACCGCCGAGCAGACGTGTTTGTGTCAGAAGGCTTGTCTCTGAGTCCTAACAAATGAAATTTAGCACTACTTATTAAGGATGCCTTCAGAACTGGGAACCTTGGCACGTTTGTTTTAATCGCTTTTATACTTTCCCTTTAAAGCTCATGGACATTCACTTGAAAGGTAAGAACTAATCTAACTGCAAAGTTGAATTTTTAAAATGAGCAGAATGGCTGTTCAGAGAATCTTGGCCACCTCCTCCGTACCTCATCCTTTGGCCATGTAAGTGCCTCTTGTGGCTTCACTTATGAGGACCACTTACGTGAAGCACACTGTAATGTGCAAAAAGCACACTGCAATGTGAACTGTGTCAACATGTTCATTAAGCTGTCATTCTGGGGACAAGGCAGTTTTGTGGTTCCCTTGTGGATAGTTTCATGGAGATTAACAGCCTTCTTCCCTTGCTTTGGGCTGTGCACTTGGTTAAGGCTGGTATGTAGGAGTAGGAAAGGTGGTGGAGGTGCAGAAGAGGCAGGGTGGTGGGGAGAGCAGTTAGAAGGGAGAAAGGGGCTGAAGAAAGAGCAGCCTTGTAGCTTGGGACTGTAACACTTGCCCCTGCCTTGCAAGTATGCAAGGTCAAGTTATAAAAGAATATTCAACTATACAGAAGAAGACATTTGCAGGTTCCCTCCAGTCCTGGGCTCTCAATGGATCTTCTGGCTTAAAAGTGACTGAAAGGGCACAGAAAGGAGTTCTCATGTCCTTGAGTTGGTTACTGACCTCTGAGATAGGCACTTGACTTCTTGAATGGAGCCTTTTCCAGGATACACAAGAGGTCATCTGAGCAGTTTCCTAGAAACAAAGAGATCAAACATAGTTCTCAGGGTTAACCAGTTCAAGGTCAAGAAAGCTGGTGGAAATGTAAGTTTCTGGAAATGTAAATCTGATTCCAGAGGTCAAGTTTCCTCTTTAAGGCCATTTTGTTAGGTAACAAAGACAAAAGCCTCTTTGCACTCAGCTTTAAGAGACAAAAGATGACAATATCTCACAAGAAGCCTACTATCTGGAGCTTTTTTGGGAGGGTCAAGGAGAGCATTCAAGAAATAAACATATTTTTAGTATCTTCACCAGGGATGATAGCTGAGTTTTTTCTTATTATAGTAACTATTCTGTATGTGAAGAACCGAATGATACATTTTCTGTGATGACTTGTGAACTCAGTGTATAGTATTTGGAACAAATCTCTCCTTTGCTTTGAGACTTGGCTTCCCTATCTATAAAACTGGGTGGTCTCCAACCTGACCATTGTTAGATTGAGGTCATCTAACATTGTTAGATGAGGTCACTAGAGATGACCATTCAGTCCACCCAGCAGAGACACAGCAGCCACAGGCTCTCATACCTGGGTAGCCACACCCTCGTGCATTTGCTCTCTGAGTAACATGTTTGGGCTCACAACCTCCCACATGACTCTGCCCAGGCTGGAGAAAGTTCCTCTTGGTCCTCACAGTTCTGTGGGGATTCGGAGCAGGTGACAGTTGAGTGAAGAGTTCCCTCTGCTGTCTGAGTGAGCTTATTGCTGCATGCATCCCCAACAGAAGGAAGGGCAGTCTTAATCCTTATCTTCCTTGACTCACACAGAGCGTTTACCGCCACAGCCTGCCCACAGGCACGGGGTGAGTAGAAGCAGAATCACACAGTTCAGTCTCCTCGTGGACTGCGACTACTCTTCCAGAATCCTCGCGGCCCAGCCTCCCATTTTGAGCAGAGAACATCAGTCAGAAGGAACTGCAGAGAGGCAGGGGTGCCTGGCTCTTTTTGCCTGGCATCCCTTTCTGCTTTTTTTTATATGATCAGGTCTGAGCTCCTCTTCACAGTATCCACGACCCTTGTGCGTCCTGACCCCTGCCAGACTCTGCAGACCCCTTTTACTCTCAGTCCTAACAGTGGTAATCTTCACCAGCAGCACAGCAGTGACAGTAATGTTAATAATTACTAATAGGTGTTGCACAATGTCTATATCTAGGCACTTGGTTCACATACTATGTGCAGCATTTCACTTGGTTTTCACAGTTACCCTTGTATACTATTTCTGTCTTATATACAAGGAAGCCACGGCTTTAAAACAGCCCGTGACTTGATCGCATTCACATAGCTAGTTGTTGATAGGGTGGAGATGCAAATTCAGGCTGTGACTGTAATGACTGAGTGAATTGCTGATTATGGTGCCAGCATTTGGGGGTTTGAGGTGCCCGGAACACACTCTGTTGATTTGTCACTCCGCTTAGACAACTTCTCCTGTTCCCTCTACATGAAACCCCCACATTCCTCAAGCCCATTGCCATTTGAAACACAGCCTAGCAGTCATCCCAGGATACCTCCTCTGCCCTTCCTTGATTGCCCTTCCATGAGGCCATGAGCTCACAGGGTAGAGACTGTTGTCCACACAGCCCCAGCTAGAGGGTGCACTATGTATGTCTGCTCACAGATCAGCTGTCCGTCCCTTTTATTCCCCTCCGTGGAGTCCAGCTTTGTACTCAGAGCATGAGTGAGGTGAACAGGAATGTTTGACTGGGCTTCCCCCAGGCCTCCTTCCCCCCAGGCTACAGGCCAGGTTAATGGCAGGATGAGGAAAATCAGGCTCCGGCCATTGGCTGAAGGCCACCGGCACTGTGTCACTTGCATGGTACCTGCATCAAGTGAGAGGCTACCAGCAAGCAGAAACACAAGCCTGGGCTTGTCTCTTACACACAGCTTCTTGTGTTGTTTTTCCTCTTTGATCTTCACATGTTCAGAGGGGTAACCTCAGCTGTAATTCTGAGAAACCCAAGGATGGAAAAAAAACCCTTATTTTGAAGTATTTGCGTTTCCTGAAGTCAAATGGCATGGCATATGTTAGTTTTGCTTAACGAATGTTATGGGGAGTTTCAAATTAAAGGAAAAACAAAGGCAGCTCCTTTTAAGAACGATAATGCCAGCAGAGCATGGTGGCACATGCCTGTAATCTCAGCATTTTGAAAGGCTGAGGCAGGAGGATTGCAAGTTTGAGCAGTTTAGGGAGACCTTGTCTCAAAATGAAAACAAAAATCTTTTTTAAAGAACTGGTTGGGTATATATGCAGCTCAGGACAATAGCCTTGGGTTTACTCCTCAGTGCCTCAGTATGGAGAGAAGGAAAGAAAGAGAGAAAAGAGATGGTGGGAGGAGGAAGAAAGGAAGAAAGAAAGAGAGCATAGAACAATGGAACAAGTGGCATTCAGGTAGGGGACACAAGAAGAGCTGTTAAGGGAATTGGGCTGTTGGGAGAAGTGGAGAAGACTCAGAGAAGGGCAGTCTCCGTCTTTTAGTATGTGACAGGCGTGCCAGTGGGGACAGTGTGGCCTCATTGTCAAGGCCCGGGTGGGAGCCTGAGTCCCTGAGTGGGAGCAGAAGAAAATCAGTCCCCAGCTAAAAGCTAGCACTGCTTGCATCCCATTTCTCAGGTAAGGCCATGTTAACATCTACAATGAGAACTCCCAAGTCACACATAAGTCACAGAGCTGGAAGTGCAAGTGTTCGTCTCGTCAGTGCTGTTCAAAGGTAGGATGTGCTGCTTTGGGGGCTGTGAGACTCGTCAAGAGCTTGATAACACTGAGGATCACCAGCCATGTAGTTCGAGGTTCCTCACTGCCTGGGTGTCCATGACGTGCCCTTCCCTTTTGGTATGAAGTAAAGGAGGAGTCGTTGGTAGAGGACCTATCTAATAGCTGGTACTATGAGCAGCTGGAATTTGCAATGTCCCTAGAGTTTTGAGGACCAGGTGCATAGAGACCAAAACACATCCTACTTCTCTTGTTGTCCAGCTCAGTGGGGTGTCTGGTGGGCTCAATCTGAGAAACAGAACGTGAAAGTGTGAAAAATACGAGCCATGTGCAGATAGTGGCTGAGTTGGCCTGAGAGTCAGAATCCTGGAATTTCCCCTTTATGGCCTTTAGTTTCCCTATCCACATGGAGATTGGGGTGGCCTGATAACACAGAGGCCCTTTCTAGCTCGTTCTAGAAGGTGAAACGGACTCAGTTCTCTACTGTTGGGACTGATGAGGTGGACATAGAGAGGGGCAGGCCAGGCCCAGTTCTGACTCTTCTGTGGACATATTGCTCTACCACAGGTAGGAGACTGTTCCGATTCTTCAGATACTCACAGTGATAGAACAGAACCTTCTAGCTCTGGGGACAGTGTAAGTTATGAGTAGGCTGGTTATGCTGCATGGTTGTTAGAAGTTTCCTGAGACAATCTCTGGTCCGGGTGTGGGAACACATAACCACCTGCCTCCAAGAAGACTGATTCTAAGTCATCCAGCAAATTAGTAATAGAGGCATTCTGTCTTCTGAGTAATTGGAGCACTCTGAATTTCTCTGAGGTCAAAGCCTTCAGGTGCACAGCGATTATATACTGTAGTTTTGTCTCCAAGCTCTGGCCTTTTCTAGAAGGATCATGGACTTCTCTTTGATGCTGTTTAGAAGACAGGAAAGGAAGGTATGCCAATAAAATCCTACTGATGAGAGAGATAGGGGGGAAAAGACATAGTGAGAAGTAGCTGAAAGAATCCTGGTCTAGAAGCTCAGGATTATGGTAACCTTAAAACCAAACCCTAACTTGAGATTCCATAATGTTTGGTCGAAAGGAACATCACATGCTGTGTTAAGCTTTATGACTCAGAAGACTGAACCCAGAGAGAAGCTGTTGCTAGGTCCCATAGTGAGTAAGTGGCAGAGCTGGGCGCAGAGCACAGGGTTGCAGATTCCTAGTCCAGGGATTTATTTCTGTCTTTCAGTTTTTCCATGGAGCAGGGAGGGTTAAGTACAAGAAGTGGGTTCAGAGTCACAGCAGACACTGGAGCTGAGATCTGTCAAAACAGCTGGAGGTGCTGAGAAAACAAGCACTAATGAGCCCTCCTGGTTCTGGCTTGTGGGAAGATGCCAGTAGATGACTGCAGGCATCTGTGAGGAAAGCTGCCAAATCACAAGTCAGGACAATCAACTCACCATAAAGATGCATCAGTACTTAGGGCAGCTCGGCTGTGGCATAAGAAACTGCAGGGGTCATTCCAGCTAGAAGACAGGTGGTCTGAGTGTCAGCTCTACAGTATCTTCCCCGCAAAGACAAGGAAGACTCAAAGCATGGCAAAATGATCACGTGGGTTCAAGATGAGACTTTTAGCACTGCACCTGTCACTTCTTACCATACCACTGATGGGCGGGTAGCAATAATCAACAAGATGTGCCATTTGAGACTATGGGTGCCAAGCAGCCAGTACCCCACATAGCTAGAGACTCTGCAAATGGGAGTTTCTTTCTCCTTTAGGTTTCTTTTCATCACTGTTTCAATGGCTCAGCTTTAGCAATAGCAAAATGCACTGGCTAATGAAATGCTCATTATGATGAAATGCCTGACTTTATCTGATGGATTGGAGTCTCAGTAATGCGCCTGAGTGTTTGAGCCCAGCCAATGCTTTTAGGAAAGCATTCAGAATCCTCCTTTCATCTGTTGAAAATGTTTTAATCCTTTTAAGAAAAAGAGGCATTATTTTAATGACTCTGCCTTTTAGATCCAACTTTCTTGGAGAATATACAAGAGAGTTCCAACAGTGACATCTAGAGGAATCATTGTTATTAGTAGAACTTGGGATCTATGTGAATCTTTATTCTATCATTTCAAAGGGCTGGCAGCTGGATTAATGGATACCCCCAGATCAACTACTGATGAGGAAGTGAACTGAGTCATTGGTTAAACAAAGGAGAACACTATGACCCTAGATTTACAACAGCATTTGGAAACTGTCCATTCTAATATGGTTTGTGTGAAGCACATGG